ATTAGTACTACCCAAAAACGCAATATATTCCCCCTTATTCTCTGAAGAGCGTTTTCTCCAAATCAAATTAATTTGCGAAAATGGATTAGACTGAGAAGATGAAGCTTGCTGAGGGAGGTTTTTGTGATCGTGAACCAATGGCAGATCCAGGCATTGTACTTCTTCATTTTCATTTACTTCTTCTTCATCTTGCTTTGATGAGTTTGGGCTCCACGGACTTTCATGTAAGGAAAGTGCAGGTAGGTCCAGTCACAGTTCTGTGAACGAAGTCATCCGAAAGGCTCATGTCTCTATAAATGTTCCCTTAGTTTTAGAGCCTTGCGGGATATTTAGAGATGATGGCAGGAGACCCGACTGTATGATTTTGGTCCCTTGAGAGAGAGAGGTAAAGCCCCATTATGGGTTGTTACTTGCATAGATATTTTAGAGGCCTCTCATCTCAAGGGTAGCTCTTTTAGAGCCGGGGCAGCATCAGGGCAACTGAATTAAGTAAATGGCGCAAATATGAAATCATTTCATCATCTTTCATCTTTAAAAAATGGGTACATATTTTTGCCAGGACTTTATGGCAATTAAAATTTTAGTTTTAGTTGTTATTTTTTATAGTTTTTTTAATATTATGTGTATGTAAATAACCTTATTTCATTGAAAAATATAGTAGTTTAAATGATACAAATATTTCTTATTTGAACTTATTTATATACAATAAAAAATAAACAATAAGTGAAAATGGTAAATAGATTAATTATAAATTTTCAAATGAGTAATAAAAGTAGATTTTGTAACAAACAAAATTTCCTTAAAATAACCAGTCCCCTGATATATGCAACAGTCTCCTTTATTGTTTTAAACCGACTTCAAAAAAGAGGAGATACTCAATTCAACTGTATTTGTTATGTGTATTACCTCATTATAATTTTTATTATTTGAAAGCTGGTGCATTTTGTATGGTCCCATATAAATTTGATCAAGATATAACCAGTAATTTGAGTTATCTTTAATAATACGTATTTAATTGACTTCAACTACATTGATGACGTTCTCATTTTATTTATCCCCTCGTCTGTCCTAACGCCATATTCTGGCGTCGAGTGATAGCAAACTGTTTGTAACATATATATATATATATATATATATATATATATATATATATATATATATATATATAAAACATACATATATATAACGTATATATCTGTTATGCATAATCTGATAGCTTATCGTTTCCATTGATATATGATTTTAATATACTTACTTACTCGTAGTATACACACACACACACACACACACACACACACACCTATATATATATATATATATATATGTGTACTGTCATCACAGTGTATGCTACATTACCAGTTGAAAGAGGTTTCTAGGTCTTAACCTGGTGTTCTATTCAAACGTGTTTCTTCCTTGATCGAAGCGACCCATCCGTGCTGGCCCCATAATTCATATAAAAGGTATTTTAGTGACAAAGCTACTGCATATTGATAATTAGTTAATAATTAATCCAGAACAGATGTAAGTATAGTTCGACCACAGCAGCTACATGTATAAAAGCATTCCCTTTACATCTCTTTTCAGTTTTTATATTAAAAAATTATACTTTCTCATATAATGCTGTTAGTTTCTTGCTAGACATACAATATTTCTAAAGCTAGCTGATAAACTAAAGTGAAGCCCGAAGCAATCTTATATTTAAATAATGTTGAGAAAACATTTGCTCAAACGTAAAGCAATCACATATTGTCCGACCAGAAAGACCAATTATTAGCGTATGGAAAAAGGCATAAATCAAAACGTAAAATTACATAACTATAGTGCAGGGTCCCAACTATAGTCCAAAAAACTATCCGAGAAATTGAAGCTGTATGGACGTGTAGCGACATCTAGTTTATTATTTTATACTATTTTCGTTTCTTGACGTCTGTTCGTTGTAGTTATATTCATGGACAACAGATGTCTCTCTAATTCAAATTAGTAGACCTTCTCCGATAAAAACCTGTTTGAACGCGTTAACTGAATATCGTAAACTTTTATTGTTTCTTAAATGTAATGAGAGGGCAAAGTTAAGTTATTATTTTTTTTTCTTACCATAGAATAAGAATAGAATATTTTTTATTCAATATTGAACACTAAAATAATAATTAAAATTATAATATTTACGATTAAAACTAATTATATACAATATAAAAAGAAGAAACTATAATATAGAAAATCTAAAACTAAAAATTTTAATAGTCAAAAAAACCTGCTCCCCGTGGTATATTGCCAAGAACGCTGGCCGCGTTTCCTCGCTGAATAGCTATACTTTGCCTTTGAGCGAGGAAAGAACCAGCCATCTTATCACCAGCAGCGACGACCAGTCGTGGATACAGTTCCTTTAGAAATTTCACTGCACGCGGGCCCCACGGACCGATAGTCTCTACAGCAAATGACACAAATATGTAGTCATTCCTTAAAGACTCATATTTGCGCCATTTACTAAATTCGGCTGCCTCTGATGCCGCCCCGGCTCTACAACAGGTACCCTTGAGATGAGAGGCCGCCAAAGTGTCAACGCAAGTAGCATCCCACACTAGGGCTTTACCTCTCTCCCAAGGGACCAAAGTCATACCGTCGGGTCTCTTGCCATCGTCTCTAAATATCCCGCAAGGCTCTAAAACCGAGGGGATATTTATAGAGACAAGAGCCCTTCGGATGATTTCGTTCAAAGAACCGTGACGGGAAAACCTACCTGCACTTTTTTTGGCATGAAAGTCCGTGGAGCCCAAACTCATCGACGCTGCTACCACAGGGGCACTGGTGAGGTTGACAAATAGCAACTCCTAGCTGGATTCCTACGGCGATGCGCAAGCTTTCCCCATCAAGCAATGTGCCGAGATTACTTGATGGTAGAGCATGTTACCAGTGGCTAGATTCCTTAGTCGAAACAGCTAGAAGGCGAGCCTGATCTTGTTGACTATGCAGAAATTTTGAAATAAATTTTTGTGGACACTCCGTACCAACGGAATATCCCACTGTTTTTGTTGGTTAACTTCCAGTGGGACATTTTCGCCGGGACAGAGCGTTAGCCATGTTTGCCTTGCCTCCGCAGCGAAGCACAGGTCTACTTTATTATTTAAAATTGTGTTACATAGATCATTGACACTATGCACGGAAGCAAGGAAAGCAGGCAATGCGACGCTAGAAATATTTCTTATACCAATTCCACCAAATTTGATATGTAAAGTGGCTTGATTCCAGGCTATTGTATTTAATCTCAAATTTAGAATTTTTTATAAAGCAATTTTAAGATTACTATCAATATCTTTTAAAATATCCGAACATTTCCAGACTGCACTTGAGCGTAACAAATATGTAAATTTAGGTACAAGGAGACAATATTTTAAAATGGTAAGGACAATATGGGGGTCTAAGATATATAATTTATCAACGTGATTTAAAAATTGATCAAATTTTGTTTTTAAAACAGGTTTATTACTATCGAAAAACAACTTTTATTTGAAAAATTGGTTAAAGTGAAGACAAAGTTTCAGAATCGGATTCATATGGTAAGTTAAGATTCTGGTATTCATTTTACGTATAGTTTATTGTATAAATACACCTATATAAAAAAATATTTTTTTCTCGTAAGTACCCTCTTGGATCTCAACTATATTCCTACTGGTTTTTTGGACCATAATTAAAAACTAACTTATTTTGTTACAGAAAATGTTGTCACGAGATAAGTTAATGAGAAGAAAAGTTGGAGGGAGGGCTTATAAGTGTTATAGTGAACGGCAGACGGAACTATGTTTATCAGATATAACAAATAAAATTCTAACTCAACGTGAAGCTGCTGAAAAATTTAAAATTCCTCGAAGTTCAATTATTTTTAAGAGCAATACGAACAAATAAAGTTAGACAACCAGGCCGTCAGCGTATCTTTTCTGATACCGAAGAAACTGCTTTAATCCAGCATGCAATCGAAATGTGTAATTACGGTTTCCCTATTACCGTTTTTGATTTAAGGTGCATTTTAAAAATGTATCTCGACAGAACAGGACGTACAGTAGACCATTTCCAAAATAATTTACCTGTCAAGATTGGGCGAATATTTTTCTGAGACGCCACAAAATGAACTATCTCAAAGGTTTTGTTCTAATATAAAGAGGGGAGAGCAGCTGTAGACGACGAGCAGATTCGGACGTATTTTGAGCATTTGAAGACTGAAATTCAAGGAGTTCCAGCCAAAAATGTTTATAATTATGATGAAACCAACCTTGTTGACGAACCACGCAAGAAAAAAGTGCTTATGAAGCGTGGATGTAAATATCCAGATGCTATAAAAAATTCAATGAAAGCAGCCGTTAGTTTAATGATGTGTGGCAATGCTGCTGGAGAAATTGTACCACCTTACATAAACTACAGGTCGGACAATATGTGGAGCACGTGGACAGAGGGTGGGCCACCTGGCACTCGTTACAATCGGTCAAAGTCCGGTTGGTTTGACACTAGTACATTCGAGGATTGGATCTTTTCATTGGTTCTGCCCACTTTACGTAGGCAAGAAGGGAAGAAGCTTCTCATTGGGCACAACTTAAGTTCTCATATAAATATGGAAGTTTTAAAGGCATGCAAGTCTCATAATATCACATTTGTGGCTTTACCACCAAATAGCACCCACCTTACACAGCCTTTAGACGTGGCCTATTTTAGGCCTCTTAAACTGCGCTGGCGTCAAATCTGAGACCAATGGTAGGAAACACCTGAAGGGCAAAGACTACCCACTATTCCTTAAAACACGTTTCCTACGTTGCTAAATAAGCTTTGGGAAAATATCATGGACAACTCAGCAATAAATCTCAAAGCTGGCTTTAAGAAAACCGGTATTTTTCCGACTGATGAAGCTCCAGTATTACAACGCTTACCTACGTTTAGATATCCAAACGCTCCACTCCAACACCCGGTACTGGTTTCAAAATCATTTATACATTTTTGAAAAAATAATAGAATAGGAGTGGTGGAAAAAGGCGGTAAAGGACGAAAGAAGAAGCTCAATGTACCAGCGGTTAAAATCATATCTGCAGAAGATATACAAATACAGGCTGGCACATCAAGAGAACCTGAGCATTCTATTAAAAATAAGAAAGCAAAAACACCTAAACGAAAACCGAAAAAAAATATCAAAGATTCTTCGAGTGAAACCGATGACGAAGGTGAAATTCAGTATGCTTCAGACTCGACCATTAATCTCTCGGATGAATTCATCGCAATAGAATCTGCAGCAGCTGCCGTTGATATCCCGAATGCTACGCAGTTCATTCCCAAGCCAGACGATTATGTTTTAGTAGAATATGAAGGCGAACAGTGAACGGGGCAAGTCAAAACCGTTGATGATAATGGAGCGTTTGTTAGTTGCATGAATCATTGTGGATTGTCATGGAAGTAGCCTGAGAAACCGGACTGTATATACTATCCAATGGATAAGATTATTTCGACAATCAAAACCCCATCAAAATTAGGCACGAAGCGCGCATTGTTTCGAGTACCGGAACTAGAGTATAAATGGAGTCAACCAAAAAAAAAATAATTATATATACCTATAAACCTATTAAGAAAAATATGATTGATTTAATATCATTATTGTTTCTTTTATACGAAAAAATTTCATTGTCTTTAATATTCCAAAAATAATAATAATTCTATTACTTAAAATTCAATTTTAACGAATTTTGACGACTTTTGTATAAAAGAATTGATAAATAAACATATTACAATTCTTATTAATTACAGTTGTTTAATTTTATGCTTTCAACTATGGTCTAGAACGCCACAATACGCATTTTTAGTACAAATAATAATCCAGTCTAAAGTTGCCAATATAACAGGCAACAATGGTCCAAATCGTGATTAAAAAAAGTTATTTGAAGTTTTATTGTTTTATATTTAACATCGATTAGTTAAATTATCGCATCTTACTTCATCTAAAAACATTATCACATGTGACATATGTAATTCAACGAATTAGAGGGGAGAGCATAAACTTATGATCTGAAATATCTGGACCATAGTTGTGTAGTTTAACGGAATGTTATTCCTCACTTATTGACAATAGTTTTTTTTTATAGAATAAGGGTAAACGAGCATACAGTTCACCTGATGTAAAGTGACTACCATCGCCCATGAACAACTGCATCACCAGAGGAATTGCAGGTGCGTTGCCGGCCCTTTAGAAAGGAGTAAGCTCTTTTCTTGAAGGTCCCTAGGTCGTATCAGTCCGGAAAAATCGCCGGTGGTAAACTATTTCACAGAGAGGTCGTACGTGGAAGAAAACTCCTAGTGGAACGTACAGTGGTGGACTGCCAAGCATCTAAATGGTGTGAATGGTATCGGGACGTTTGTCGCGTAATGCTTTCATGAAATTTGGCGGCTAGGATTAATCCGAACAATTCCTCAGAGTACTCTCCGTACTCTCCATGTAATATGTGAAAGAAAATGCAAAGAGATGCAACATCTCTTCGCAGCGCCAGTGAATCGAGCAGATCGGAAAGCACTCGGTCATCCACGATTCGAGTCGCTCTCTGCGGTCCAGTGTAAGGAGCTATCACTGGAGAGCTCCAGCCCAGAGATGGGAACAGTACTCCATGTGCGGCCAAAACTGCGCCTTGTAAAGTGGCAGTCGGTGTGCCGGCATGAAATAATGTCCCGCTCTGTTGAGCACGCCAAGCTTTTTAGAGGCCCATTTTGCCTTTTTTTGTGACAACGAAACTGCACGTCACTCAATATGTCGACGCCGAGGATTCCGATACTGGCTGAGGTAACAACAGGAGTGCCTTGAAACTGTGGAGATACGACAAAGGTGTTCTTTATAGCGGTTAATGCGTAATTTTGTGTCTTCTAAGGGTTAAAATGGACTAGATTTAGTCGCTCCCAATCCGAGATTTTATTCAGCAAAGATTTGACTTCAGACACAAGTTTGTCCCGGTACTCGGATACATTTTCCCGAGAAATGTTGGCACGGCCGGTGTATAAGGCACCAGCAGTGCTGTCATCTGCATAGCAATTAATGTTACCGGTTTGCAACACATCATTGATATGCAAAAGAAACAGCGTTGGTAATAGCACGCAGCCTTGTGAAGCGCCAGCAGTTATATTACAATAGTGAAAAGCAATTTTTCATCTTCAGCTACGTCACCACTTATCTTCAGATCACATACGTACATACCCATGAACGTGTAACGTGAAATAACTGCGTAAAATAACAGCTTTATGCTGTTGTCATTTTATGGTGAATGTAGAGAACTGGAGACTTTTTAACTGAATACAATATCATTCATCAAACACGAAATTATTGTTTTATTGTATTTGTCGCCAAGGGTGATGCATCTTCATTATGATTTCCAATCAATGATAGAATTTAGATGTCTATGAAACACGGCATCCACTTACCGTTGAGTTGATTCTCTGCTCGTTTGTCACCCATTTACTATAAAAAAATTAAAAGTGACCAAGAGCTGCTTTTGATTAATCCACGTTTTAGTGCGACACTTACTTATCAGCGTCTTTAATGTTTTATATTTTCAATAAGATATAACCGTAGCTTGCTTGTTGCTAGATCCTCTTAATAAGCTATTCGTCCTTGTAATAATAAATAAAGAAACTAATAGCAATAATAATAACTACTTGTATTTGATAAAAGTTAGATATTGACTCACCGAGATAATCGCTTTCTCTTCGTCTAAAATAAGACCTGAGTAGTGAGATTAATAATAATAGATTAATTTAGGTAATTGTTCCTAAATTTAATTAACCGTTGAATATTTTCGTTTGCCCGAAGTGATATTAGCATTATAGGAAATGAAGTTTGAAATAAAATTAAAGATCAGGTTAGCGGCATGGTCATAAATTGTACATGCTCTCAAAGAGGTGACGTTTTTGGCTTCAAGCCACAGCGCAAACTTGTTACCATAAAATTTGAATTTGTGCTTGAATTTACTAGTTTTATAAGGACGCATGCACTGTTATGATACAATCTGCAAAATATGTTGAAAGATATTTGAGTAACACTTAAAGATATATCTTATTAGTTATTATTTGTTTCCAAAACAAATAATAATAATTCTAAGTGTATACTGCTCGTAATGTGAAAAAATGCAATGGCCAACCCACCTGTCAAACATGTTATTTGGATAGCCGTGGAATTAGCAGAAGGCATTTATCTGATCTTATGCTGTCACGGAAAAATAAAAATATACTACCCCAATAGAATTCGAAAACGCGATCGTAAAATTTTCAAGTTTATAGCTCCATACATATGTCAAAGCCAACTAGCTTAATTGGCCTTTCAGTTAACCTTTTGGTTAACTTTTCTTTCGCACTGCTGCTGCGGGGCTCGCGATAGGGGGCAGCCAAGTCACACAATACGTAAATATTTTTTGACGTACGTTATAATGGGTACAGTCATTGAAAAATAATGCAAAAGAGCATAAAACGTTGACGTTATTTTTCATGTACTTACAGACGAAACGTAACACCTTGACTTTTTTGGTTTTCCGAGAAAGACTGAGCATTTTGAAAGATACATTTAAAGAAAAATTTCAAATTATTTTTTGAATATATGTTATCAAATACAAAATATAAATACCTTGTGATTATGTAGTTTTCGTATTTATTTATGTTATTATTTGAGGATATATATATATATAATATCGATCCGATTCCTATTGAAAATCCTTAAATATTGTGGTCTCTGGAAAAATTATTTTCTTTCAGTTGTGAGTAGTTTGAAGTCCATCATAATTACACTCACGCCTGTCACCCAGAGGGGTAGGCAGAGACTAAAGACTTCCATTTGACATGATCCTGACACACCTCTCTCGCCTCCTTAAATCGCCAATTTGGTCGATAAATTTTCGCCTAGGACGTCCCTTTCCGACTCTGCCATTCACTTCTGCAACATAAATTTTCTTTGTCACTCTTTCCTCATTCATTCTTTCCACATGACCAAACCACCGAAGCATTCCTTTCTTAATCCTGGTCACAACATCATCTTGCAAACCACACTCTTCTCTTATTACACAATTTCTTACCCTGTCATTCAGATTCAGCCCTAATATACTCCTTAACGACCGCATTTCTACTGCTTTCATTCTACTCTCGTGCTTCTTCTGCCACACCCAACTTTCACTACCATACGTTAAAGTAGGGACCAACACAACATTGTGAATTTCCATACGTGCCTTTTTCGACACATTTTGACTCTTCACAATAGAGTATCGGGCACCATTTATTCTATTTCCTGCATTCACTCGTCGTTCTATATCCTTATCACATCTGCCATCCCTACTAAATACGCAACCCAGATATACAAACTCATCTACTTGCTCGATCAACTCCCCTTCTATTCTTATTTCACATATCGTCTTACTTTCTTCTCTTTCAAAAACCATAACTTTCGTCTTACTTGTGTTCACTTTCATACCCCTTTTTTTAATGATCTGTTCATTAATGTAACCATCATTTGCAGCCCGGCCGCCGACGACGCAAGAATAACTTGATCATCGGCGTACAAAAGGCATTTGACGGTTAACTCACCCATTCTTAATCCGCTTTCTTCAACTTTCAAATTTTGCAAAAAACTGTCCATAAATAGGTTGAACAGTCACGTGGAAGCCACACAGCCCTGTCTGACACCTTTATGGATGCCAAACCAGTCCGAGTAGACCCCGTTGATCCTAACACAAGCACTAGAGTCCCTATAAACCGACTCCAATGCCTTTGCAATGCCAAAGCGTTGAACCCAAATGAATTCAGTGTTTGCCATAGTTCATCCCTATCCACGGTGCCATAGGCCTTTTCCGAATCCATGAACGCACAAAAAACCTTTTTGTTTTTGGCCAAAAACTTTTCCGCATTCTTGCGCATGGAAAAGACTTGATCTGTACATCCAATTCCCTTTCTAAATCCCGCTTGCACATCCCAAATTTTTCCATCATGTTTCTTTCATGACCCTTTCAATCAGTACCTTAGCATACAGTTTTCCCACAATGCTAAGAAGGCTGATACCCCGGTAGTTTTTACAGTCCTGCTGCGACCCTTTTTCTTTATATACTGGGGCTATCACGGCTTTGCATCAGTCTACCGGTTCAGTTCAGTTCCCGCTTCAGTTCCCAGCATAAATTAAACAAGGTGTGCAGCAGGCCTGCCACCACTTCCTCTCCCGCCCTTAGCATTTAGAGTGAAACTCTATCATATCCGGCAGCCTTATCTGCTTTAATGTTTTCATTGCTTTCATTATTTCATCTATACTTATCTCGCTACTTCTTTCCTCTTATTTCGGAGTTTCTACTTCATTTATTTTATACGTTGTCT